GTTTCAACCCTTTAAAGATTTCCCCAAAAATCAAAGAGACAGCCAAACAGCAGGCAAAGAATTGTGTCATTGTATTACTTTCATGCCTTGCTTTGTGATAATACTGTGCAGCATGCACTTAACATGGCAGTTTTCGAGCCATCCTACTTAGCATACTGATTTATTTTATGAATAAATTGTGTCCCTATCTGTCAGGCAGAAGTAGCCAAAGATATGTTAATTGTGCCTCCCTGAAATCTGAGGAAAATCCCACTGGGTGTTTACTGAACCAGTTTACTTGCTGTTACATCCACAGATGGATCTACGGTGAGAAGCTGGGATCCTGTGCCAACCATTCCCTCCATGCTGGGTCTGTCAGCTTGCTGCTGGCCTGTTCTAAAGGCAGTAAAAAGCTTTACAAGTACACACACACACCCATCACCATCCATTGCTTGAGATATCAGCATCCTTCTGAGGGCTGCAATCACAGAATCGCAGAATCGCAGAATTGCAGAATCTCAGAATGGGGTTGGAAAGGTTTGGGTTGGAAAGGACCTTAAGATCATCTAGTTCCAACCCCCCTGCCGTGAGCAGGGACACCACACACTAAACTATGTCGCCCAAGGCTCTGTCCAATCTGGCCTTGAACACCGCCAGGGTAATGTACGTTTACACACGTGTATACACGCACACATGCTTGTTATCCTCATAGGTGCACCACAACATTCCTAAGAATGTGGCTGCTCCAAGGAGCTACCATTAAGGTCTTACTCTTAACAACCCTGCACTGAGGTGGGGAAGAGGGAAGATTTCCTCACGAATAACCTTACAGGTCTCTACTGGAGACCAGGAACAGTAGCTCCACATTACTGAAACACAAAGCTCTTATACGGCTCTGGTAAAGCTCCGAGCATGAAGCCTCAGCACTGGGCACTCTTAATGGGTGCAACCTTTTTGTACCCACTTAAAAAGCATTTTAAGATAATAGTTTCTCGCCTTTGGAATCTTAGAAAGCAGATTCATTCCAGTACTAAATAAGGCATGGAACTTAGCAGCTAAAAAAATCTTTTTAAAGTAAATACAGTGGGTTTTTCAAGGTTTCTCTAGCTTTTTCTCTGGATTTCTGAAAGCTATATCACACATTGAGTACACATGCTGTGGGCTAAAACAAATGCCTCACTGGCATTTGTACAGATGACCTATATAAATCATGCAGAAGGCACACTAACAACCTCCCCAAAATCTCTGCATTTTTTTTCTCTTATCAGTAGGTGTGGTTGCCTTCGTATCTATTTATATGTACATATAAACATATATATGTGTGTATACATATACAGAGAAATGAGAGGACTGGCTCTTGGAAAAGCAGATTATGTATGCTTGTGTGTGTGTATTTTTGCATTTATACACATATACATATATGTATGTACATATATAGAGAGACAGATACACACACATATATATCTGTATACATACAAACAGATATGAAAGTGTAAATACCTACACACACATACATACATGATTTGCTCTTCAGGAAGCAATCCACTCATTTCTGTAGATAAACAGAGCACAACTGTAAATTAGAAAAATAACATTTAAATAAAATATTTGCACTCTTGCAATTATATGAAGTTAATGTAACTTGGCTACTAGCTCTTTTTATCACTGTTAAGACAATTTATCTGGTCTTAAAGACTCCCTTGCTGTAATGTAAGACACACTTGCATCTTGGAAAAAAGGAGGAGGATGTTCTATAAATCAGAAAGCTGGTATAGTGCAGACAATGTCAACACTGAGTGTGACAGATACTGAACTGAAAGCTAAGGAAGTAAAAAGAAATATATTAATCATTGATAAAATTCACATAAGAAAATAAACAAAAGATAAATCATGTTGTTTCTATTTGGACTGTAAAATGTGGAGAAAGTAAATCATATAGAATGTTATATTTGCAAAAAAAAGTAATGTGCATTAATAAAATAAAAAAATAGTCATGTGAAGTAATTTGGTTGTTATTAGAATAACAACAACAAGAAGAACAAAAGCAAGTTGAAATTTGGGTAAGATATTCAAAAGGTTTTCTAGAAGGGAAAATGCATCAGAATAGATATTTTCAAATACACTCTATTCCAAGATCATCTCTTCTGCGCACTAGTCTTGAAACAAAAGAAATTCTGGGACAGGCTGTGTGTTTTCAAGGCAAAACTCCTTTCTTGTAATAAATTTATTTTAATCCAGAATCTAGTATCTACCCACTGGCTTTTTCTGGAATGGCTTCCAGTAATTTAATTTGAATAGTAATTTAGTGTGAATAGAAATTTTACATCAAGTACTTCTGTGAAAAATGTTCTGAAATGTACTGAGAAAGAGTTCTGTGTAAAGCATAGTTACTGCTTTAATCCAGTTGTCTTCTACTAACTGGCAATCTACCTTTGGTTTGTCTCAGACATCTGCAATTCTGCTGTTCTAGCTGAAAAATGATGATTATCTTACAAATACTCCTCAGTGGAATGAGCTTAAGCACCTGCTTAAGTACTTTACTAATACCTGGCTTCAGCTAGCAAATTGGAGCAACAAGCAATCACAGTTATGGTACAGACATGCATTTTGCCATTTTCTTTAGTACCCTGATTCCCTAATATTTTCATTTCCCACCCTCATTAATTGCCTAAGTTTAAGATATCACAACTAAGCAGTCCTAGTCAGGATTTAAAAATTATTATTTAAGGGAAAAAGATGCTTTGTGGGACAGTCTTTAATATATTGCAGTATTTCTCATGCCTTTTAAACATGCCAAAACAGGGTATATTTCAAATTTTTTCAACTCTAGCAGTATAGCTTTCCACCTGAAGCTTTTTTTCTTTCTCTTCCTTACAGAAGCAGCAGAAGCTTCTTTTCTGTTGCTTCCTCTTCTCCCAATATTGCTCCTTAGTTTATTTTGTCCGCTTTATAATTTGATTTTTACATATATCCACCTTTCTGTGACAATCAAGAGTTTCCGATGATACTCTGTCTTTACAGCCCACAATTCTATTAAGGAAGATAGAGTCTTTCCATGAAGTGTTGGTCCATCAGTTTTGTCTTAAGGATAGCCAGAATGAATGGAATATTTTCCCCTTTTTGGAACAAGGTGATAAAATTGGATTATGTCTATATGCATTTTTCTCCTGAGTTCATTGAAACTCAGAATTCATTCTAGGGTCCTTAAACCCTAATTGTCCTGAACAACCTAGGTGATTTAAAGGTGATAAGGGAGAGTTTTTAATTACCAGATTTCAAGGTATGAGTTTCAATGCCAAGACCAAAAATAGCATAGAGTCACCCACCTGTAGCTTCCATGGTTGAAATTAAGAGTAATGAGGAAAAGGCAAAGTATGACTTTGGACAGTATAGAAAGACATGTGACATCTTTTTTTTAAAATAATTTTGTGTTATTTAAGCAGAACAAGATTGAAAATATCTGATGGATATAAGGCTTCTTACAGCACACCTTCTCCAGACCCTGGCCCACATACAGGTTGCAAATGTGGGAACTGGAAGCTTGGCTGTTTCAGAGCCATGCTACCAACTTCCACTGGAGCTTTGGCAAAGTCATGTGTTAACTGTCCTACCATGCCTTGTCTGTGAAAGGGGAAAAATTGTGTTCACCATCCCTTTTAACAAGGCCACTGTAAAATTTACTTACTTAATGTCTGTGAAGAGACTAAAAAAAGAAACTGCAAGGGCCAGGAGAATAGTAAGCTTCACTCAGCATTACTTTATTTGAGTAGCCAGCTGGCTGATTCCTAGGGTGGCAGTAAGAGGTTGACCCATTTGGCAAAAGCATGTTACTTACATTTGTCTTACACTAAAAATTAATGTCCCCATGGATTGGATTTCAAGCTAAGCAGCTTGTATTCCCTATCACAAAGCCAGCAAACACCAACACCACCAGCTCTTAACATCTCTAGGTAAAGAGCAAATACAAAAGCCATTGAAGGGGAGTGAAAAGGGACTGGGGGAAGGTGATATAAAATGAAATATTTCAGAAGACACAGAGCTATCACTTGGATAGGACCCCTATGACCTCACAACATCATAAGGTATGTTAAATTAGTCTAAAAAAGACAACATGTTAACAGACTAAACACTGTTTTGGAAGCCACAAAGCTCTGAATTTGGTACTTTTACTTACTAACTGGGTAGCCTGTGCAAGAAATTTCATCTTTTGGGGTCCACCTTTTCAATCTATAAATGGGAACTATACCTACCTCATGAATCGTGGGCAGTACCACGGGGTAAAGTTTGTACAAAACTTAAAATGAAAAAAAAAAAAAGTATACGTTGTATAACTGCTATTGGCTTTATTAACTTAAATCACCAGGCAGCTGTCCCTTGGCTAGTGAAGTTCATTTTTAATCTCTGACATGTCCCTCTGTCACTGCTTCATGAAGAAAAAAGGCTGTTTCACTTCATGCCCAGTTTTACTATTACTTGGATGCTTCCTCCAATATAAAAATTAACATATGAGTAACAGAAAATGCCAGTGTAATGACAAAGGTTCATTTCTACCTTTTACTGTAATTGAAACAATTCTGTGTTACACAGATGATATCCACCTATGTAGAGCTCTATTTGAAGATGCAGTCTTTCTATAATCTCTGAGGATCTCACATGGCAAACAATTTTAAACAACAAAACAGCTGTGAAAACATCTAGAGTACTTTACAATTATTCTTATATGAAGATCCTGAAGTGCTTTATAAACATGAAAATCATTATTCTTACTGGTGGGGAAACTGAGGCATGGCTAAAATAAATGACATGGCTATGGCTGCACAGAGAGTTAGTGGCAGAGCAGAGAGGCAGCAGCTCCTGGATCTGGTGAACCCTTAGTCCCTGACTTAAAAGTACTGCTCCTTTCAGCTTGTATGTCTCACACCAAATAGGAGGTAGCCTGCACTGCACAGAGGCATTCCTTTCCTCCTCTGTTGAGGAGGGGACCCACCCTAGCCTGCCAGTCCCCATCCCCGCGTACCCACCTGCTTGTAGGCATCCAGGAGGAAGCTGTTCCAGACGCAGCGCAGCCCCTCCGAGGTCAGCATCCTCCGCCACTCACCGCGCCCAGATTTGGACCGGCTCAGAAATAGCACCATGTGCTTCAGGAGAATAACAGAGTCATAGAGAGCAAGGAAGAGGCAATTGGAGAAAAAGACCGGCAAGATCTGAAGCGTGATCAGCAAATCCACACTTAGCAGACCCATCTTCCTTACTGCTTCTTTTCAGCTGGATGCCTTCAGCTCCTTTTTTTGCTCTGTACTCTCATTTAAAAAAGTAAAGTAAAAAGCATTTCAAAAGCCTCGTTACCCCTCTCTCAGCTTCTCTCTTTAAAATGATCAGAGACAGTTAAATATGAGCAGGCTGGTTAAAACCATAACTGCATGATACTCATTCAACTTGGAGCTGCTTATTTTTCAGAAACTAAGATGTTAACGAAAATTCTTCCCTTAACCAGGAGACCTGATTTTGTTGAAGAGAGAGGCAGCTGTGTTTCCAGTTCCCTGCAGTCACAAAATTTAAGCTAAGACTGTTAATTTTTAACTTCCCTGCACTATCCCATTGTCTCTCAGCTATTTAAGCACTGAACAGAGCTCCCAATCCCGTGTCAGTGAAGCTAGCTACCAGGTGCAACAATACTTTTATTTAAAAAAAAGAAAAAAAGGTTTATGTACATAAACTTTCTGTTCCTCCCTCCCTTCCTCCCTCCTTCTGTCTCTCCCTTACCCCCCCGCCCCCCTCGCCGCTCTGTATTCCTGCCTTCCTCCTCTCGTCCTCTCTCTTGCTATCTGCCTATGGTGCAAAGTGCTTTCCCCTCTGGAGTCCTAGCTTGCTTCCCTGAAGCCTTTTATACATTCCCTAGCTAATTGCTGCAATAGAGAAATGAAACCCTAATCTTAGTAAAGATCTTGACGTCAATGTAAAAGAGGGCTTTACTTTGGCCAGGACTGCAGTGAATAGAAAAATGAAATTCTCAAAACTTTTTTTTTTTTTCCTTAAGAGAGGAGAAAAAAAGAGAGACAGACAGCAAGGGTGGAACCTTGCTTTGCTTTGAAAAGGAAAAAGAAAAAAACCAATATGCTTCTGACTGCTGTTACGAAATGCTTTCAAATTTTGGAAAAAGTATTTTCAGCTGACATGGAAGGTGACACAGCAATGCAGGTTTCTGTTGTTGATGGGGTTTTTTCTCATGGCTGTTTTTTTATCTGTGCCCTTTTGTCTTTTCCAGGAAGGTGTGTGAGTTGATGCATCCCAAGAAAGGGCACTTTTCTGTACATTTTCTCCCTCTGTGTTGTGCTCTGTGAAGTACAATACGTGTAGTGTTTAAATACCTTTTGTTGTCTTCTTGGTATTTAAGGAAACATAAGTAAACACCCAGAACTGACTTCATCTACTGATGTGTAAGAAAAGAAGATAAGAAAGAGAGGAAAAAAAGGACTTGAAGGATTTAAGGGATTTAAGATAAAGTTCCCTGCTTAAAAATAACATGCTACAGCCTTAAATGCTGTTAATCAACTGAGTTTCAAGGACTTTAATATTCCCCTATGATAACTATTTATATCCACCAGTCTAATAGGGATAACTAAATTTTGGTTAAAAGCTTATTAGTAAAAACAAAAATAAATGCAACACTCCCACCCCACCCTCCAAAAAAAAAAAAAAAAAAAAACCACAAAAAAACCCCAAATCACCAAACACCCAAAAACCCCCCAAAAAACAAAACCCCAAAAAAACAACCAAACATCCAAAACCAACAACAACAAAAAAAACTGAAAGAAGTTTTTCTTCTGGCAGAGCCATGTCTGCTTTAACAACCACAAGCATCCCATGCAGCCCCATGCTGAAGATTTGCTTTGTTCATTTGTGCTTCTCTTTTTTTCAGCCTTTTAGACCAATATTTGATCTTTCCACATGATTTTTTTTTAGTACAGTAGACAATTTTTTTAGCATAGTTCTAACTTCCTTAGATAAATATTTCATGTATTTCATGTTGCAGACATCCATAAGTTTGGTTTTGAGTGGATGTCTTTCATATGTGCTTACGTAGGCTTTCCTCATCAGATACATTTCATTCCCAGAGATGCCAGCATGGTATCTTACCTCTGTCAACTCACATTCTTGATGAGTAGTACAAGCATCCTTCATTAATATATCTTAGCCTTCATCAGTCATCACCATCCTTTCACTGCTAGCAACTGCAGAAGGTAAACACCATCAATCTTCCCTACTCCGGGGTCTTTCATTTTCAGATATTGTAATATCACTTGGGCTGTCACTATACTAGGATGCATACCTCTATATAGGCCACCCTATGTCCTGAGGTAGAATAATATCAGGCATTTGCAAAAGATATCACCCTGACAGGCTATCTTCCAGTAAACGTTTACTCAAAGAAATAAGTTTAAAAGATTATGAATATTAAATCAGTGACCTTCTGTGTCACTAGCAGGAACGAAAAAAGGCACTCAGTTTCATTTTCAAACTATAACAATTTTTAAGTTAAAATGTTGGTGATAACAGTGTTTTGTTGTCATAGAAAGTATTGCAGCCTCCCAGATTTGACTTTATTACTAAAACTTGTAAAAACATGCTATAAGCAGGCATTTATATATTCCCACACATGGATGAGTCAGCATGATCATGTCATGTGAGCACAACACAGGAACAAGGGTCCCCAGAGCTGCTAAATTTGCTTACTGTCTGATCTCAGGCAAGCATATGTAATCACTTGATTACAAGAGGTCTTAAAACTAGATTACTCCTCCGTAGATCCACCACTAAAACATATATGGTCCTGTTTAAGAAGGTCCCCTTTCTCTACTATGGGAAGGTTTGTTAAAAGGCAGGCCTGGAGATTGTTGATGATGATGCCAGATGAATCATCAGCCATTGTTTCTGAGAACAGTTTGCAAACAGCTCTGAGGACAGTCCAGCTCAAGCTCTTCCTGTTCCACCGGAGGTAAAGTCAGGCAAGAACCTACACTGGGAACACAATGTATTCTGGGTTCCTGTGAAACAACTGCCCCTACCCACAGCATGCTTCATGGGTGAAGAGGTTGTTTGTAGGGCAGCTGGAGACCAGACAGCTACAAAGCTTTGAAGTACATTGAAAGCTGAACAGGAAGTCCATGGAACATTAGTGTGAGATGGTATTTCATATTTACTATGTCACCTTCCTTGCCTATAAGGCAGACTGCGTGCATCGAGTTAAACAGAACTACCTCAGATTATGTGTTTGAGAGCTTCAGTCAAGAGATGCTGATAGCTACCTAATACAACCATAAAGACAAAAATCTTTTGAGTAAATAAAAAAAGTTTTGCCATTGTTGTGTTCAGAAGCAGTCTGTCCCTGTCCCTGCAGGACACGAGCACTGCTTCTCAGCTTGATACTCAACAGCAGCCCTCAACACAGAAGGAAAGAGTAATCCCTGCTTCTTGTTGACACCACTTCTCTCCTTCTTCATTGAAACAATTCATCCTTGTGTTTATGTCTCTCAGACATCAGAAATACAAGGGAAACCACTATTTGCATCTTTTGTGAAAGGTAATAGCAGCATAATCTCAGCGTTGAAGCCAACAGTCTCTTGCTATTTCCCTGCAAATCTTCATGAAGCAAGGGATAAAGAATAGATCTTTCAGACCTTGAGACAGAATAGATCTTTCAGACCTTGAGACATTAAGAGAGTCTTTACTCTCGTGAAGGAAAACTGCATGAATTTGATACATAAGGAAGAATTATACAGGGTTGAAGATACTCATGAAAGACCTGAGATAGGGTTCAGCTAAAGCTTATTCAGTTACCTGCTCTACCATACCTTCCTATGTAATTTGGGCACAGCCCTACAATGTACCTCAGTTCTCCATCAGCAAAAGAAAATAAAAGTCCTCCCATAATCTAAGGAGCAGTCAGGTTCAGTAATGGGAAATTAAACATATCATCCATAATTTGTCAAGGTGGAATGAGCAAAGCCAACAACATTAAAGCATTCACTGTTACTAGACCTTGTATGTGGCTAAAGTCAACAATATTGGTATAGACGTTCATATTCTGTAATGTTTATAGAAATCAGTGCCATCAAAACTGTATCCATGCATAGCTTCATGTTTCTTCCCAGTTTCAACCACAGTAGCATGAAGATTAGGACACAGGCACCTAATAAGTTTGTTTACTGCAACTCTCTTGATAACTGTGCCTAGACACAGGAAATTCAAGGTGAATTACTACTGCTCAGACCACTTTCTCTGATCTCGTTATACAGTAGATCCGTACTAGCTCTCTGCGTGTCAGATAGTGCATTTTAGAGCCTTCACTTGGTTGTGCAGGTCTATACTTGTTTGTGGTTGAACTACCTATGTAAGTTACCATGGCACTCAATCACACTGTGTGTAGGTACTTAAATGCAAGACCCTTGAGCCCAAAACAAGCAGACTGCTTGATATTTTGGTTATTCAGCCTCATTTTCTCAGACTAAGCGAGACCATTTTAAATGCAGTTACTCTTTTCAACACAGCTGGGAAAGGGTACCTCACAGTGACAGGCAAGCAATGCTGCTGCTCTGGTCCTACCTCCAGGATGTTCATGGGAGAGATCATCCCAAAAGATTCAGCACAACCTATGTGCCTGCCTTGCTGCTTCTCACTGCTTTCACTGCCAAAAACAATGACTGAAGCTTTTTGTTTGAGAGGTAGTTAGTGTGTCCATGAGCTTATCCCTGGAGAATTGCACAGCTGCAGAGCGATATGGCTAGAGATGGGAAGGAGAAAATTTAGCTTAGCTTTGCCTCCCTGGCCCTGGGCAAGATTTGTTTATTACAGCCAAAGAATTTGTACCTCTCATAAACCAGCATTTTTTCTATTTGCCAAAAGAGAAAAACCACCCCTTCCCTCAGCAACAATCCCCTCACTTAAAATACCACAGAGCATTGACTATGTCCCTATTCTGATTAGAATCAGCAGCATATTTTCTTAAAGAAATAATATCTTCAATGAAAAATTAAAATTTTTCACATAAGTCTTGGTGATACCTGGATGGATTACCCACAGTGTAGATTCACCAGGCTCTGCCTTCCTCTGTCACTCCTGGCCACAGCACTATGTCTGAATGGAGCAACATTCATCCCGCTGGCACCCAGCCGCATTCTGCACACTTAAAGCAGCCTCTGTTCTCAACAGGAATCCACATGCTAGCCTTTCAAAGGCAAGCACA